AAAGCGTTTCTCAAATTCTGAACATTGGCACGCCGGTGGTACATTCAAAGTGAGTTTATCATACAACATACATAATTTAGAATATAATTTTACATAATTTTCATTTTTTTCAAGGTTGCACCACAACTTTTTTACCAGTTATATGTAATACATGGTTTTATTCGTGAACGTACTCTACCACTGGTATATGCTCTTCTTCCTGGTAAATCTGAAGCAGTTTATGGTGAACTGTTTAATGATTTATTAAAACATGTAACTAGACATCCGAACTCAATTACAATTGATTTTGAGGAAGCCGTTGAGAATATTATTAAACAAAAATTACCAACAACAACAATTAGCGGATGCTTTTTCCATTTTAAACAATCTTTATGGAGAAAAATACAAGTACGTGTTCTATACAGGTACCTATCTAATAATAACAATAGTATTTGATCTTTCTGTATAGGATTTAGGCCAGCCACAACCATTCATTACTGATCGTGAACTTCGTCATTACTTAAAAAATTTTGCTTGCTTAGCATTTGTACCCGAAGCTTTTGTTGCAGAAGAATTTGAGAAATTCCAACATGAATCTCCTGACTCGATAAGTGGTACGTACTTTAATCTACTATATAACGTAATAATCGTCGTCGCATCCCTCGCTTCCCAATTACTCTGTGGAATTGCTTTTCACGTTTAGATCAAAAGCTTCCGCGTACCAATAATTCTTCAAAAGGATGGCACCATGCACTTAAAGTAAGATCCATTTCTACAGAATCTTGCGACCAGTAACTCATATTTATGTTTAGAATTCGGCTCGTATAAACCCATCTATTTACGAATCTATTGAAGATCTTCAAATGGAACAACATGCTAATTTAATTATGACCGAGAAGCTAAATGCTGGACTTGTAAAATTGACAAAACGTACAACTACAGCAGTTAATTACTACGTTTGATTTAATTAAGTACACGAAAAGACTACTTTAAAAGAGCAAGAGCTTTGTTTAATTTTTAATGTTGCTAATGATATTTATAATTATAATTTATGATGCTTTTCTTTTTTTAATACATACATATCGTTAAAATTTTAAGTACATACATATCTAAGGCTAATACTGAAATATAATGACAAAAAGAGAAAAAACGAGAAGACGAAGATTATTTAAAGTATATGTAAAGAATAGTGGAGTGTGTATATATTCGTTTGTTTGTAACACCTAGCATTGTAACATATAGCGTCGATCAATCAAATCTTTATCGAACACAAATGAATCTAAGACAAGAACCAATGACAGAACGCGAATTTTTCAATTTCTTGGATTTCTTTTTTACGCATCCGTCGTGCGTTTATCGTCAAAATCAGATTATTGATCACAGCTATATCAACAAGCATTAATTACGACTAATATAACTCTCAACAGAATTTCAGAATTGTTTCGTACATTACATTTCATTGATAATGTTCTCAATTCCTCGGAAAAATCCAACCAATAATAGATCTATTCAATGATCGTTGCTCATATATAGCAGAGCCTCCCGGCTTTTCAGCCTTTCGCTACATGAGCCTTCTACATTTGAGCCTTAGAACAGCATCATGAATTATAATTATAAATATCATTAGCAACATTAAA